TGTCTTCTATCAGGAACACCTATCATAAGCTTTCTCTAACTTGTCTTCGTGAAGAACCTTCCTTGGTGTAACGATAATGTTGCAATAAAGATAAAGATCGTAAAGGTGTTTTATATTCATTAAAGTAATAAGTAGGAAAAGTACTTAGAACAAAGCGTGAGGAACCTATCTTCCTCAGCCACATCGGCCTCCTTATATAGTATTCTTCTCACCCATAGTCATGTGACCTAAAGTGGTCACATGTGCGAAACCAAATCATAACAAACTAATCATGTGATCAAAGTGATCACATGTTCAAAACCCATGACCTCATAGCGAGGTCATGTACAAAAACTCATAAACCAATCATAATGCAATAAATAAGTCATATGACTCGACTGAGTCATATGCATAAAACCCATGACCTCATAACGAGGTCATGTGCAAAACATAAATCATATGCGCAAGGCTTACCCGCAAGGCACACTCACAAGGCATATTTACCAGGCGCACGTCCCATGACTCATATTTGAGCCATGTACGAAAGCATCACAAATCCCACACATAACAAATCATATGACCAGAATGAGTCATATGTGTAAAACAATAACATACCTGTGACTCATAACCACGTGTCACATGAAAACCTCTTTCATGCCAAGCCACGTTCATGACACCAGGGGTGTAATGTGTTTGCAAAGTGCTAATCACGTTTCGGGATAAGGTATAATAGCTGACAGGTAGCCTGCTCTACCAGAGAGGAGACGAGAGCTATGAACTAGAGGAGGCTTCCAAGGTGTACAGGGAAAACTAAAGAGTAACCATTCAAACAAGTAAATTAAAATGCTGTCTATTGAAGTCCACCTTTTCCATCATGGAATCAGGCAGTCTTTAAGTACACAAATCTGTTCATGTCAGGTATGAACAAAACTAATCAAAGGTATCAAGCGACACACTTTGGTAAAACCACTTAAGTATCAAAATGATACTTAAAACAAAACATAAAACAAAACCAAGTATCAAACAATACTTAAAACAAACCAAGTATCAAAGCGATACTTAAAACAAAACATGAAACAAACCACACTAATCTATCCTGATAATTGCGTAATCAAATTCAAGTTGCAAGTTCTTCACCACCTCTGTCACATCCACAATGTCCCGAGATTGCTCAACTGGGTAGTGCTTGCATTTTACTTCCACGAGCTGGCCGTGAGCAGGCGCTGAGTTAAAATAAAACATAGTTTAACTTTGGTATCTTGTCTACTCTCCTACATTTTGTTTTTACTTTCTCATTCTCATTTATGCTCTACACATCAGCATTGTATATGATTTCCTTATACCCTTTTTGTTTTATTTTTCTCTTTTTTTAACTTTTTTTTTTTCTTTTTCTTTTCGTGCTGGCCATTCATCTGTACTGTACCCAATAATACCAATAATGATAATTACAAATAAGTTTATTACTTATAAAAATCTGATCGTTGAGGGAATTTCTAAGTTTTAAGATATTCAAGATTCAAGATTTGGTTGTAGTGGCGGTTGTGATCACTATAGTCCGCCGTAGGGTCACGATGAGTTGTCCGGCACTCCGTAGGTGCCGTCGAACTTTGCAAGTCGCCTAGCGTCTTTCAAAGTGGCGGGAACCTTGGCACGGTTAAGCCATCCCAGTCGAGGAGAGCGGCCAGAGCTGAAACCTCCTATTTTCACCTTCTTTGCCGATGACGTACTGTACAGCTCAAGCACCAAAGGAAGCTCAACTGCAATCTAGTTTAGTGCTTAGCCAATGGGAGAGATCGACATTCACTCTTCACTAGGATATCTTAATTTGCAATTAGCCAAACCTCTAACGATACATCCCCGGGCAAGGCGTGCCTTCCAGCGACCGCTTGTGGGATAGAACATATCTAATGTCGCGAATACCTCCGGACAAAACCTGGGTGATAACCACCCATCCATATGGATCTGTCGGGCCCGATGTGACTCCACAATCCTGTAAAGAAATGCCCACAGTAACTATTCCGACCAACCTGGCCACAGAGATGCTTTTCACCACATAATTACAATAAACTGCCTGGGGACGGGATGGTGTACGGTGATGCGTGTATATCCCAGGAGGCAAAGTGTACAACGAAGGGCGAGTCAGCGCCTAGAGGTATTATATCAAAAGGGGATCGGTGACAGACAGTAGGCATTGATTTCCTGATAAAAGTACAAGTATCATAGGTGTCGATGAAATACCGGAGACTCCCGACATAATGAGTTTCCGTACTAGAATCCCCCAACACTAATATAAGGAATCGAACTCCCTGCTTCGCAGAAACTGGACCTCGTCAGTGCTAGGATGATAAAGATCCCGGGGTAGGAGATCACTGAAACAGATATGGTAATAATAACATGCAACAGATTACTAGCATCCTGGATGCTGTTTGTCGAATCCCGGTACCCCTATAACTTTGGATAGATGCATTCGCACAGGAATGCTCTCTGCTAACTAGGTCACAGGTGTTTCTTGCCCATTTTCACCCAAATTTACTATACGAATAACCCAGTGCGAATAACCCAGGACGGTAAACCTCGCGGGAAACTCTGGGGGCCCCCGAAATCACAATAGCACTGGCTCAAATTATCACGGCAAAGTAGATGCACAACTTCTCCGGGGTAGGAATAACGAGTAAAGTTACCGGTAATCTTTCGCCCCCGGTCTAGAGTGCTCAAGCCCTTCACTCATTCGGAGAGTTCTAATTTCTAAAAGAGCGTTATCGGGTCCTAGCGCGAAGTAGAAGAATCAAAGAAGCAAAGCAAAGCAAAGGAAAAAATCAATTATCGTCGACAAATCGGTATAAGCGTATGATGTCCAATAACATGAAGGAATTTGCCGTCGTGTTGCTCGTCTTGTGTTCGCCCGCAACCCTGAAAAACTCTGGAAAGAGGGTGGGGAAGGAGGTCCATTACCGTACGTAGACGATTACGCACTACAGGACACTTATGCTGAAAGCCTTTTCTTTCCTTTCCTTCCAACACTTGTTTGCTTCACCCAGCGTGCAATATAAACCCACTTGCCTTCCTAACCAAACTCTCAGCTTGCTTAGGTCTTTCCTTCCCCCATCCAACTCCCACCAGGTTTGATCCTGCGCCTTGTGTATCAAACCTCCTGTATCCAACCCCTCTCCTCTCTCACTTCGCCTTACCCCGTAACAAACCTCGATTTCGATCATTACCACTTTACCCATTTTTTCAACAACTTTCCTTCACGACTGGGATAGATCGTGGTTGAACTCACCACTCAGATATACCTGTCGCGGGGCTACCTTCTTGGTCAATGGGCCTTCTTGGTCAATTGGCTATCTTGTTGATCGGGTAGGTTACTTGACTGCCCGGATGGAACATATCAAATATCACGAACATTCTGGGTTAAATAATATGCCACCTGATCTTATCCGGCCCCAGATGTATACCTCCACAGCTCCAGAGAGATGAATGACTGCGAGAGCTGCGTCACCCAACCACACCACTCAATCCTCCTTCCATCATGGCCCGGTGAGAAAAAGGTAAATCTCGCGGGAAAACCGCAGCACGAAACAAGAGCTGATCGTAACATCAGAACCACCCCTGCCGAACCCGAACATTGTAGCACTGTAATAACGATAACTACGTACTCGCGGGCCTTTCTCCAAACGTCAAACAATAGGGCTATGTTAGGTCGAGAGTGTCTACGATTCTTATTCTTTCTCTGCTACCGGAGGTGTCCTATATATACACAAGCTGCTCCTTTGCAAACATCTCCTTCGTTTTTTATCCTCACAGAGTTCCGTATCCTTTGCCAATCATGATGCCACACCATTCCTTTTGCACAACTCCTTCGAACCTCTTCTCAAATCATTCCCCTAGACTTTTGCTATCCCAGACAGTGCTGATATCATACCTTTGTGCTTCTTCTCTGGTTTCCTAACTCTTTTAGTGTGACACCCGAATGTCACAAGACCTCCGGAGTCCACACTCACCCATACTCATATGCTCGCCCTTTCTTCAACTTGTTCCACCACTGCGTCCTCAAACCAACATCAAACAAACTTTGCCATCTCCTGCGAAATCTCACTATCTTATCAATATCACACAACGGAATCTTCGTTATTTTCAAATGTTCGGTACTATCATAACTTGGTCAACAAACGGCGACAGTCGAACCACACCGAATCAGTAACACAAAAGCTCCCCCTTGCTGTAAGGGCGATTGAAAAGCCGGTATCCATGGTACAATGTAAATACTTGCGATTACATTATGCCCCACTCTACAGCTAAATCCTCATGCAGTGTTTTGTTGTGAGAGCGCAAAGTTCGAGTGTGATGCTATAAGCGCAGAATGCGGTCGTAAATATAATAGCAGCCGGGGGAAATGATTATTAGAGAGGCTTCCTTATGTTTCCGATACAATGACTTCCCCATCAGCAGATAAACAAACTTCGGAACTGAAAATCTGTAGAGTGTAAAGCATCGCAAACTGTATCGGTAGTTCAAGCTGATTCCGAGCAACATCGCAACTTCACAAGTTACTATAATGAAGGAAAGGAACGGTCTACCGGTCAAGTTTGCAAGCCGACATGCCAGATCCCAAATGAGAAGAGGAAATGTGAAAAAAAGAGAAAGCCTGGAGTATATCTACTCGCTCAAGAACGATGCTATGTGGATTTCCAACCGAAATCCGTTCCGCACGATATACCGTACCTAAAGCCCCTAGAAAACGAGGAGGAGCAGATAGACAGCAGATCCATTGCCTGCCAAAAGAGCAAAAATAATCGATTCATACTCCATTCCGCTGCTATTCGTTCATTCTCGGAGAACTTTGCCATATCCCCGCGTGGCCCTGGCAAGCTATGCGAATCCACCACCAGCGAACGCCGCTATTGCCGCGCACTCATGCTTACACCACAGGACAGAGGGGTGTTGGCAGAAACCACTCCCGCCGCATGAATTTGTGTTCGTTATCAGGGTGAGCGTCTCGTCAGAGATCGTGGGTATATTTAATGGCAAATATAGGCCAAGCATTACCGCTTCATCTACCAAAGTTATGCGAGAGGTGTGCAGAATGGTTGAATTCTGCTAAGGGAGGATCATATTGTCAAAAGGTCACAATCTTTAATATCAAACATTCTGAGTGGTAGACCATTGAAGAACGTAGAAGGGAGATATAATACATTTCTATGACAGTATTGTAGAAGGTAATCTAGAAAGGTGAACAAAACCAGGGAAATTAGAAGTATAGTAAAAGATTTGATATAATAGATGAGAAATAAAAATAAAATTTAACGACAAAGAAAGAGGAAAAGGAAAAGGAAAAGGAAAAGGAAAGGAGAGGAAAGGAAAGGAAAGGAAAAGATGAAAAGAGTGAAAAGAGTGAAGCATGGAATAAAGCTGCAAACTACCAAAGGATTCCCTGCACAAATTTCCACCGACCCTAGTCGCATGAATAACACTATTATAACAATCATCTAGGAAATGATAGGAATAAGCCAGTTGATAGAGAAGGAGTAATGAGAACAAGAAAGACGAGAAAAATTAAAGAAATAGTGATAAAGGAACGAATAACTATTCCGAGGAGGAATCGGCAATAGGGGGGAGGTGGCTTCAAGGGTGAGCGAGGGGTAGACGAGTTAGGTTGAGAGCGGCCGGGGATAGCAGGTCTAGGTTCGGAGAGTAACTGCACAATCCCGGCATGTCCAAAGAGGGCGGCTAATTCAAGAGGTGTTTCGCCGCTAAGGCTTGGTGTGTCGAGATTGACATCGCCTCGTTCTAGTAGCAACTTGACGATTGCCTCATACCCACACCTCACAGCCAACCAGAGTGGTGTTTGACCATATTCAGTGTCGGCAGTGTTGGGATTGATGTCCTCTCGATCTAATAGCAGTTTCGCTACCCCTAGATGACCACACCACAAAGCCAACCAGAGTGGTGTTTGGCCATATTTAGTGTCGCCAACATCGGGGTTAATATCCTCATGTTCCAATTACAACTTTACGACTCCCTCATGGCCACCCCATGCAGCCAACGCGAATGGTGTTAGACCAAATTGAGTGTCGGCAGTGTTGGGATTGATGCCCTCTCGTTCCAATAACAGCTTTGTCATGCGATCGTCCCCACATCGGGCAGCCAGCCAGATTGGTGCCCGACCATATTCGGTATCGGCAGTGTTGGGATTGACGTTCCGGCGCTCCAATAATAATTTTGCGACTCGTTCATGGCCACGCCTCGCAGCTAACCATAGTGGTGTGCGACCATATTTTGTGTCGGCAGTGTCAGGATTGATGTTTTCCAGTTGCAATAATAACTTTGCTACTCTGCCATGCCCACCCCACGCAGCCAACCAGAGTGGCGTTTGGCCGTATTCAGTGTCGGCAGTGTTGGGATTGATATCCTGCCGTTTCAATAACAAGTTCACTACACCCACATGCCCCCACCTTGCAGCCAACCAGAGTGATGTCCGGCGATATTTTGAGTCGGCAGTGTTGGGATTGATGTTCTGACGCTGCAATAATAACTCTACAAATCCCTCATGTCCCCACCTCGCCGCCAACCAGAGTGGTGTTTGACCGCACTTAGTATCAGCAGTGTTGGGATTGACGTCCTCTCGTTCCAATAACAACTTTATGAATCCCTCATGGCCATGCCTTGCAGCTAACCATAGTGGTGTTTGACCATATTCAGTGTCGGCAGTGTTGGGATCGATTTCCTCTCGTTCCAACAACAGCCTTGCAACTCCCTCATGCCCAGCCTCAGCAGCCAACCAGAGTGGTGACCAACCATATTGGGTGTCGGCAGTGTTGGGATTGGTGTCCTCTCGTTCCAATAGCAGCTTTACGACTCGCTCATGTCCATACCTCGCAGCCCACCAGAGTGGTGTTTGACCATATTCATTGTCGGCAGTGTTCAGATAGGTGTCCCCTCGCTCCAATAGCAACTCCAGGACCGCCCCATGCCCACACCTCGCAGCCCACCAGAGTGGTGTTTGGCCATATTTAGTGTCCGCAGTGTTGGGATTGGTGTCCGCTCGTTCCAACAACAACTTTACTAGTGCCGCATGCCCATCCCTCGCAGCCCACCAGAGTGGCGTTCGACCATAATAAGTGTCGGCACTGTTAGGATCGGTGTCCACTCGTTCTAATAACAACTTTGCCACTTCGTTGTCCCCGCGGATCACTGCCCACCAGAGTGGTGTTCGACTATAAGCGGTGTCCGCACTTGTTGGGATTGACATCCTTCCGCTCTAACAACGTCTTTATAACATCAACATGGCCTCCTATGGCTGCCCATGTGAGAGCCGTTCTACCTACAGCATCTGTTACATTAATGTCCCATTCCCCCTTCACCAATAAAGCAGCGACTGTTTTTACAAGCCCGAGAAATGCTGCTCCATGGAGCCCTGTAAAGCCATTAGGGCCACTCATCGCATGGAAGCCTGGCTCCCACCAACATCTATCCTTATTATAACGTAGCAAGAGTAACCGAGAGGATATATGCCCTTCAAACCCAAGAAGAAGCTCAAGTGCAAGTGGGCTGACATCCTCTGTCTCCTGCATCCTTGTGTGTGTTCCCCAATAGCACGAAGCATATTCGACAAGGGGGACTAACGGCGGGGCCGAATTAAGAGTCGACGAAAGTTCCCGAACACACCCGAAATTGAGGTACGTCAAGCAAACCTCCGCTATCATTGACTGTGGACTTTGGAACAGACTTTGGTTGCTCGATAAATATTCCCGTAGCGTTAAATGGACGAGCCGGACCGTGTCGGAGGATGAATCGACCGTGATGAGCCCTAAAGAACACTCAAGGAGTGTTTGAATTGCAGGAACGTTCTTTACATTCAATTCTGCGCATCCTATTGTGACTCCTAAAGCATGGCATAACTCGCGAGTGCGTAATGGTCGCTCCGAATTCGATACCCACATCAGGGCTTCCATTCCGAGTCTAGGTCTACTCCCCTTCTGTGCCTTTATTCGTGCCAAAGTTGTCGCGTATGCATCTTCCACATGATTGCCCTTTCTAAGCTCGTTCAACTTCTGCTCCCTCTCACCAACCGTAACCTCCGCCAGGATAACATCAATGCTCAGTGATACAAGTAGGAATCTACAGACTATCGTCAGTAGCCATAAAATCATGCACGGCGTGGGAATTGTGGATTTTCCTACTCACATTTCAGATACCCTTTCTGGAATAATCCTGAGGATATCCGCCCGTAAACTGTCAGACATCGCGTCGGGCTCGGTGTCCATCTCCAGCTTCCTCTTCAAATAAATTTTTATGTCTTGTGTCTTAGGACTAATGGGTACTATAACCATATTGGCAAAATACCTTCTAACCCAGGCCTCCACCTGAGGCCTCCCGGTGATAAATATTCGCATCCTTGGTGACACCTGAAGGATATCCTGCAGTGACACCAGAAGCTCCAGTAGATGGTTAGGGAGGAACTCATCCAATGCATCTATACAGATGAATACGCGTGGTAATTTCGCAATACACTGCTTCAGCAGATTTAACATATCAGTAAGCCGTAGACATCGACCGCCGACCTCCTTTTTCGCCTTTTCAAACGCTGCTCTCACTAGCCCCAGCACCTCCCCTCTTATTACTAGCTGCTTTAGAATGGCTCCCATAATGTTGACAGTTGTCTGCTCCTGCTGGTCGCGGAAGTCGCAGTAGAACATCGCGATCGTAGCATCTTCTTCCTCGCCAGGTTCATCACAGAGGTTATCGATCACCAATGAGCTAATGTTGCCGACCATCAGTAATAACTTCCACTTGTTTCTAAGAAATCACTCATTTACCTTAGATATGTCTTCCCCACTCCCGGATTTCCATAACAATATAAGACAGCCTTATCTCCTCCACCTTCACCGCTCCTCCACTCCCGAAACTCGTTTGTTTCTAAAAGCCAATTCCCCACCCCATCGAGCCTGTCTGTGCGCACATCTTGATGCCTTCCCCCCGGCTCTAGTGGCGACAGCCATCTCATAATTTCCGGGTTCTCATCGCCTACTGCCCTCCCTAGATTGATGACACCACCGATATTCCTGATATTGTTGATGTTATGACTATCGATTGTGTTACCGGAGTTGACGTTACGGCTGCCAATCGAGTATCCATATGCTAAATTTATGTTGCTCATGATTGTCTGTCCAAAGCGTTCGTCGAAGGTAGATAGCGGTATACCACTGCGATAACTGTGGTGGCGATAGGGGAGGTTTTCACGGAATTTTCTCCAGCTGAAAAAGGGAGGTGTGCGGCTTAAGAGTCAGTAATTTCCTGCCAAGTAAACACCCTCATTTGGACAACTGCGAGATCAGAGCTCAGCCTCACACCACACAGCACAAATATTCATATTCTGGCGGCGGGACCATCCTATTAATAGCCTCTAGTGTTCAACCCAAGTTTTCCTCACGTAGACTTAATATCCCACCTTACATTACAGTACTTCGTTGATGGGATAGACTGACACTTGATTTTCATTGGAATATCCCAACCGACAATTGCCGAAATTTTAATGATATATCCCCTAGGCTACGTAGCCTTCTTCGTGACTGCCTTAAGAATCAAACATGAGATGAATTGCTAGGATCGTAGACGTAGTTGATCCCGCTCTACTCGTATAATAGCTTCCAACATCCAGATCTCTCGAGTGACAAGCGATTTTGTATGATACGAGTACCGCACACGCTCGGTAGGAATTAGCGTGACAAGACCTACACGCGAGAGATCAAGATGTGTCCGATAGGGGAAGATATTTGAAAAATCAATTTCGGGGTTGGATGATATTGGTAGGGATAGGTGGCAAACCCAACTCCCTGCTAATATGATACGATAGCTATAACCCCATTATGTAAGAGAGAAAACGCGATCAGCACGCGACTTGTAACGCATAAGTTCGCATGCGCTTACACACACTACTCCACCTCAATACGGGACTAGTAGCGCGTTGATAGGGTGATGAAGAGAGACGAAGGGGAAAACCCCTAGAACATTCCGGATCGCCCTCGATAGGATTTCGAGAGGTTACTCGGAGGTAATGGAATGTAGGGGGGGATGCTTGACGACTGGAACCCCGAGTTGTGGGAGCACCTGAACGAATACGGTATGGAAGGGCTAGGAACAATCCCGGATATTCTTCCCCCATAGTTACGCGATGATTTCGAGTGTGAATGGAGGCCGGTAGGATACCAGAGAAGGGTTTGGAGATGTTGCTGCTCGGGAAATATATCCTTATGTTCCTCTGTCAGCTGGTTGACACGCTTATGATTGGTTTCTCCTTTTCGCATGATATTATACCACCGAATATCTCCCCTGCACGATCCCAACGTCAACAGAAACCGCGCCAGCAATTGCGGGTGTTGGTGCCTAATATTCCCCCCGAGCCGAGTACCGGTAGGCTTGTGGAGATTACGGGCTCGGTGGTTGAGGGAAATGCGGGGGCCCTCCCACCCGTGGTAGGCTTACCGTGAACAGTACGGTATTAACTATGGTCCCGACTATCATGAGCCTACCCTGTCTGGCGATGTGCTTACATAACCTAGTAAGATGGGTGCTTTGGAATGCTGTGTTCAACGTTCAATCGAGCTATCACGTGCTTTGAAGTAGCATGGACAACGAGTTGCTAGTATGACACAAGCAAAACGGGTATTTTGTCCCGTTCGATCACCTTCCTTCAGGTACTGACACCGGCAGTACTACCGGAATCGTATCAAGTGAATTGTACTGTAGGTACCAAGAAGGATTTACAGTATGTTTTTCTTAGGACGTGAGTGTATC